TTTTTCTATACAAGTTGCTTTTAATAAGTGATAATTAAGTTTGTGGGCTCTATAAGCTTGATAAAGAAGATCATAATCATTTTGAAGTGTGGCTAACTAGATTTGTGAATCAGCTATCTAGATTTGTGAATCAGCTATCTAGGTTTGCAAATTTGTTAGCTGGGTTTGCAAATCTACTACTCGATTTTCTGCATTGATTGCACGTATATTAGCTTGTAAATATATTTCTAGTACTAATCTTTCAAGCCTATTTCCGGTATCAGAAATTATATTAAAATAATCTATGATGCCATTTATTGTAGGTGTTATACTATCTAATATTATCAACCTCTCGCTGAATTCTATGATTCTGAATCGTAGCTTGGTTTTCAGACAAAGATAATCGGGGTGATCCTGGTTGTGCCATATCTATAGCAAAGCTATAGTTTTTTGAATCTATAGTATCATTGCTATTTTTATATGAAATAAATATTTTTATTTTTTCATTAAGTTTGTCGTTTTCATTCTGAAAAAATGCTAACCACTTTTCTAAATAATCTTTATAATTTTCTTGCTTTTTAGACTCTTTAAATACATTTCCTAATTGTTTTATAAGATTAGAAATTTCTAATCGCAATGGACCTAGTTCTTCATCTCAAACCAAAATTTCCTTTTTGAGATATTTAATATAATCCTCTTTTAAGCTTAGAACCTGTTGTAATTTGCAAACCTGATTTTGTATTGCTGATAAAGCACTTATGAATTTTTTGATTGTTTCACTAGGTGGGAACACTACTGTATTTGATGACATTGTACAAGCCTATAATATATCGACTTTTCCAGAAACTTTGCCAAATAATAATTTATTGATATAGTAAAATGTATTGAAAATGAACCAACCTAGTACCGTAATCAGTACTGATGAGGAATTGGCCCTAGTTTGTCAGTTATTATTCTATCAGCCCATGGGGTATTATTTTAACCTTCGAAAACTATAGAAAGATCTTAAAGCGGAGGGATATCAGTTCCTATATAAAAAGGTATGTAAGTGGCTTACAAACCAGAATAAATAGCAAAAATATGCTCTATCGCCAAAAGATACACCACGGGTTAGTTATAGTAAAATTCAGAAACCAAATTGTGTACATCAATATGATCTCTTATTTTTTATACATGATAAATATAAGGGGAAGACATAGAAAGCAGTATTACAAATTATAGACGTGGCTAGCAGGTTTAAAGCGAGTATTCCTCTCATATCGAAGAAAAGTTCAGAGGTTGCTAAAGCATTCAGAAAAATTTATGATAATCCTAATAACCCTCTTACATACTCGACACTTTTACAATATGATAATGGTAAAGAATAGGCAGGACAGACAAGCCAACTAATGAAAGAATATGATGTAGTAATTTGAGTTATCGGTCTGTATTCCCTAGTGTTTCAAGCCGGCTAGAGCAGCCGTAGCTAAGACAGCTTAGCCGGCTAAGCTAGCTGATAAAAATGTATCAGCTGGCTAATGCAGCTTAAGATCACAAGACTTTAATAGTATAATTTAGGCCGAAGTGATAATGCCAGGCAGAATTAAGTAATAGAAGATAAAAGGTTCCGAAAAGAAAAATGATCGAACATAAAATACGAGCAAGAATAACAAAAAATTTGAGTAAATATTCAAAAATTTCTAAAAATAAAAAATTTGGCTTTAGTTATTAGCCAGCCACTTAGCCGATTTTTTTGCCGGCTGGCTAAGCCAGCCAATAAAAACTTCATGGCTTGAAACACTAGTATTCCCATTGTGGTATAGCAATTGTGGAGAGATTTAATAAAACTTTAGCAGAGATGCTTTACAAGATTCAATATGCTGTTGAAAGTATAACTTCGAACCATAAATTAATAAGAGAGTGGGTTGAGTATTTGCCAGAAGTTATCGATTACCTAAATAATTATCCGACACATCTCATTCGAGCTCCAAGTTCATCAACATGGGGTTTAGTACCTATAAAAGCAATTAAATTAGCTAAGGTCGAATCAAGGCCATCAATGAAATATAAATATCCTGTTAGAAAAAAATGAAGAGAATAGGTTAAAGAAAGAAGACTCCGTTCATTATCTACTTGCTAATGTAGTATAGAAAGGAGATATGGAAAATCAGAGATGTGTGACAGATGTGATATGGAGTCCAACTTTATTTAAAATTGAAAAAATTGTTGTAACAAAAAATGAACCAATCTTATATTATCTCAAAGGCAATGAGTTTATACCAAAGCAGGGATTTGTGTGAGAGAAGCTCATGTATGTGGATCTTGATACTTTGCAGTACCCACCTCAAAGTATATTAGAAGGAGACATTCATTTCAGATCAATTAATTTCATTTGTATTATTAATAAAATGGTCAAGGCTCAACAATATGCTGAGAAGCATGGAGGGAAATATCTTGGTAAAACTAGTCATATAAATGGGTTTAATATATATCTCTGGTTTTGTGAAAAAGGACTCTATCAATGGGAAGCATCTTATAAGACCCAGAAGCATAAATTCAAGTGGTACCTGATTTGCTATTACACTAAAGAGCCAGTTGTCGATATATATTTGAAGATTTGCTAGGTAAAAAATTTCCACCATATTTGGATAAATTTTTGGATAAATTTTTGGAAGGCTTGCGTTTGGATAGTTATAACAAGGAATTAAAATTGGCTTTTGAATACCAAGGATCTCAACATTATTCCGAGAATCTAATGTTCTATAGACGAGGAAAGATTGATTTGGATGAGCAGAGATGGAGAGATCAAAAAAAGCATGAAATATGCAAAGAGCGAGATATAGATCTGATTGAAATACCAGAACCCCGAGCTATACATAGATAGGTTAGAATTTATTTTTGCTTATTTTTAACTATTTTTTTGCAGATCTTTACTTTTTTTAGTAATATATATGCTTATTTTTAACTATTTTTACACAAATCTTTTACTTTTTTAGTAATTTGTTAAGATTTTTTAAAAATCTTAGCTGTACATAGATTGCTCGGGGTCCTGAAATACTATTCGACTCGGATTTATATGTATTTATAAAAAGTGG